CTCTGCAATGTTGCCTCTGGCCCATCATAATGCACAAAGGCAGATAAGCAAAAGGACAAGGACAAGTCCATTGAAAATACATTTTCCAGTATTAAAGCACAAGAAAAGCATCCAAGAATAAGAAACAAAGAGGACATGCAGTCATATATGCAAGGTGTTCTCTACAAAGATAAAGTATGCCCCAAACCCAGTTGCCAAGATCACTGGCAGGGACTCCTGGGCCCACATGCTCTTCCTAAACAACCCCTCCATCTCCTTTCTCAGAACTCAGCAGTAGGCCTTGCTTAAGATCCAAGGTCACTCGGAAGAGGCCATGTCTACCCTCAATGACACTCATAGAGGAAATGCTGAGAGAAGCATTCAGATGCATGACACAAGGTAAGATTGCCAAAAATCTTGTTCTTGCTCTCCTCACTTTGTTATTTGTTTTATTTTTAGGAGTTTTGAGAGTAAAATGACAACACCCAGAAATTCAGTAAATGGGACTTTCCCAGCAGAGCCAATGAAAGGCCCTATTGCTATGCAACCTGGTCCAAAACCACTCCTCAGGAGGATGTCTTCACTGGTGGGTCCCACGCAAAGCTTCTTCATGAGGGAATCTAAGGCTTTGGGGGTAAGTCCGTTGCCTTCCATCCCAAGTCATAGGGATTTTCTGGCTGACAGAAGCTGATGCTGTAGGCCACATACAGAATTCAATCCAACCTGAAGAATTGGGACCCAACCTGGTGTGTTCTTTATGTCTAACACAGCGGGCCAAATCAGGTGCATCAGATAAGTCACCGCCTAGATAACCTCTGGGTGATCTTATGTCACCTTTTGGTTTTGGGGTTTGTATATTCAGGGGTCCCCCATCCCAGTCCATTGCCAGAATCCCAGGCATACCTGCTCCCTGGAAATAACCCATGTGGTTGAGGAAACAGATTTGAACAAGAAAAAGACAAAATTCTTGGCACCTCCACTGCTTCCTTTAGGCATTCCTCACAGCTCCAAGTCAGGAGTCAGGGCTTCCAACCTTGTCTTTGCCTGCTAGCAGTGATGATTTCGGCTCATCCATTGCTGCCTCTGTTCTCTCCCCAGGCTGTCCAGATTATGAATGGGCTCTTCCACATTGCCCTGGGGGGTCTTCTGATGATCCCAGCAGGGATCTATGCACCCATCTGTGTGACTGTGTGGTACCCTCTGTGGGGAGGCATTATGGTGAGTAAAAGAATAACAGCCATTTGGGAAATGAGGCAGACAAAAATGTTAAAAGTCTCCACAGGGATATGCCAGACTATTTCTGTGTTGAGGGAAATATTATTGGGTTAAACTAATTAAGAAGACAGGTTGACCAAATTGAGTATAAATCCCATGGTTGAGAGTCAGTGTTCCGGTTTCATGTGAATTCAGAGAAGGGGGCCCTGCATGGATCTCACAGGGACTGTCCAAAGCAAGAACACTCCAAAGTCAGTTCTGGTGGGGAGGGTGGCCCTAGACTTTTAGACTAGATAGCAAGATGTTCTGGAAAGCAAGAGGGAGCAGGAGCATCCACTTCTTCCCATCTACTCCTTCTTGCTTACAATTCTGTTTAGTTGCTATGGTACCTGGTGAAATTTGTCCCATCACAAATCAGTCTTATTTTGCTTATCAACAGAGCAGCACTCTTTTGGCTGTTTTATGTACATGTTTTCCAAATCTGTAACCCTGTCTGGGTGTGGCACATAGGACAGTGATGTTTATTTCCCCATGACACTTTTCATAGTTGCCACTGTAAGTCCAGGATTAAAATTTTCCAAACAAGTAGAGATGGGTTAGAACAAGAGTTTCCTCCATTCTACAGCCTGAACGTGAGAAAAGGAAGATGAAAAATAGTCATCATCACTTCCTGTAACAGCCAGTGTTTTAATGGAGTGCCTGTGCCGTTCAGGTCAAGTATTTCTTTCTGCATCAATTCACTCTTCAGAGGTCATCAGAGTCATTTATGTCACTGTGAACCCCCAAAGGGCAGTTCCACAAGTTAAAAACAAAGAAAAACTAAAAATAAAACTTTTAAATTCATGGTATGAGTATTAATTGATGAGGAAATAGGAATTCTGTCTCTTTGGTCTTATTATATTCCTAGTCACAGATCCCCAGATGATTGAGTAAAAGGCATGAATTTAGTGTCACTGAGCCTGAATAAAGGAGAACTATGACGGCCGAAAAATGAATAAAAGTGACAAAAATGGGTGGATGGTTGTGTGAAAGTTGCTGAAAGTGTAGGCTTCTTTCTGACCAGTTATCAATGTTAAAAAGTAATCTCCCTCTCTCCTCTTTCTCCTGCCTTGCCCACCCCTCTCCACCTCCCCCACCTCTCTTTTTTACAGTATATTATTTCCGGATCACTCCTGGCAGCAACGGAGAAAAACTCCAGGAAGTGTTTGGCAAGTAACCATATGTCCTTCTTTCCCACGTGTCAGAGAAGTACCTATTTTTTCGGTTAAAAACTGAGGCCCTTAAAAAGCCAAGGTATCACAGCCTCTCAGCCCTAAAAAGCAAAGACCTTCCACATGTTCTTGTGATTTTATTCATGAAAAAACTTAGAAGTGAGGTCTATCTGAAGTTTGTTCATGGGAACAGAACTAAAAGCAGATCCATGAAAACCATACCTAGAGTCTTATGAATGTTAAATGCTGTGTGAAAATAATAGACCTTTCTGAAAGTCCTATCATTTCTCCCAGATCACCCTTTAGGAAAATTATCTGATCAATGTCATGATTGATTCAAATTCTAGCTAAGCTATTTTTTGGCCATAACATTGAACAAGTCAGTTTACCTCTATGTACCTCTGAGTTTTCACCTAGAAAGGAAGGGTAACAGTCCTTGCTACCATGTGACGTCACAATGGAGCTGAAAGGCAGTAGAGTGTGTGATGGTGCTTCAGAGGCTATACGGTGCTACACTGCAGTCTTGCCCATAAAACCCCTAGCGACTCATCCACATCCAGAGGAAACTGGCCTGCAGAGATGCTGATGCTGTATGGATGAAAAAAGTTTACCAGCAAGTTTGCTCCCAAAAAATTCCACCCCCAACACTGTCTCTTACTAAACTGAGTCACTTTCATAATCAACAAGGGAATGGGTGGATTGAGATGGTTCCTCTCTTAAAGTGGCCTGAAAAACTCAGTTTTGGGGGAAAAACGTTTTACGACATCAAATTATTCTCCAGATACAGCCAGACCTACTGACTTGCCATGTGTAGGTCATAGAGCCAGGAATGAAATATGTGCAGCATAAAATAATAATCAATAATCTCATATCATTATGGTACTTGTTACTTATATTTTCCTGTTTCAACCTTTTATCATCTTTGCAAGGTAGAACGTTCACACTGATGTTCTCGCACTTATGCTACCCAGAGACATCAGCCCTAATTGTATTTTGGAAGATAGCTAACTGGGGCTGATCGCAGCCCATGGCAGCAGGGATAGGTGTTGTTACTGTTGTTGCTTCTGCTCTTTTAATTTCCATTTATTTGATAGTACAGATCTAGAGGGTTCTAGCTGAACCTTCCCAACCTAGACTTCACAATACCATCCCACTAAAGTGTGATACAAGAACCGTCTTCTCTCTCTTCCCTCTACCTATTTATGAAGGCATATAATAAACTGGATAATATTTATCTTCACCTATTCAACAAATATTTATTGAATGCCTATTAGGATGGTGGCAGTGGCAGTGAAGGAAGTGCAAGGATACAAGATATAGATTCAAGGGTTACTCTTAGAAATTTTGCTTTGTAAAACAGATGGATGGTGAATGAGATAGGGAAGACTGAGAAAAGAACAGGATAGAGACATGATTTTATTTTATAGAGACAAGGACGTTAAAAACAACCAAGAGAACTTCAGTATATTTAGTTGTAGTTGCTTTGTGAGTCAGGGGAGTAGCATTTGGAATTCCCTCCCAGACTATGTTTTCCAAAGGGAAATCAAACCCAATTAATAATCTGTGTCTCCATTTCAGGTCAAAGGAAAAATGATAATGAATTCATTGAGCCTCTTTGCTGCCATTTCTGGAATGATTCTTTCAATCATGGACATACTTAATATTAAAATTTCCCATTTTTTAAAAATGGAGAGTCTGAATTTTATTAGAGTTCACACACCATATATTAACATATACAACTGTGAACCAGCTAATCCCTCTGAGAAAAACTCTCCATCTACTCAATACTGTTACAGCATACAATCTCTGTTCCTGGTAAGTGTGAAACTGGATTGCTCTCCAGGGCAGAAGGATGACTGGTTTATTAAGATCATGAATTCTGGATTCATCCAGACCACCTGAGTTTGCTAGTTATTGTCTATGTAGCTGTGGGCAAGAATTTTAACCACACTCTGCCTCAACTTCTTCAACTGTAAAATGGGGATGGTAACACTATTTATCTAATAGGGTTGTTCTGAGTAGTAAGTAAGTTAATATATACAAAACATTTAAAACAGTGTTTGGTACCTAGAAGTGCTACATAAGCATTGGCTTTAACATCAATTATTGTTAACATCATTAGTGGCATTAATATTTATCATTATATTGACTAAGATGAGCACAGAAGAAATACCTAAGATGTTATGAATGTCTTTTGCCCAAGGACTTTTAAACATAGAGTTTGAAAGAGATTTTTTAAAAAATGCATACCCCAAGGATGAAGAGGTCTCCTCGGCATGATTCCATACCAACTAAGACTGAATGCAATTTAATTTGAGACTCATTACTTATTCTTTCCTATATAGAATTGATTCTTCAACTGATTATTCATACCTTACTTTCTATCAGCAATACACATTAACCATCTGTTGTGTGCTGAAAGATGCTGAAAGATGTGTTTAGAGTTAGGGTTATAAAGACGCTGTCTCCTGTACTAGCAGTTCTCACAGCTAGTCATTACTTGTCTAAAGAATTGACCTCTTAATCATTCAATTATAGTCAACAATAACTTATTGAATATCAACAATGTTCTTTGTGTCATTATTACATTTTTACCTTCATTCTTCTGTTGTTTTTCAGGGCATTTTGTCAGTGATGCTGATCTTTGCCTTCTTCCAGGAACTTGTAATAGCTGGCATCGTTGAGAATGAATGGAGAAGAACATGCTCCAGACCCAAATCTGTAAGTAGTAGCCCCTCTGGCCACAACCTCCCTCTAGAAAATCCACATCCACAAAGGATCATTTATGGAGAATGTAATCTGATGAGTCGTTGAAACTAGGAGCTTGATTTAAAAAAAAAAAAAAAAAAAAAAAAGGTCATGGCATGTTTCTAGAAAGCGAATAATATCAATAGTAAGGAACGATGTCTTGAAATTTGAAATAAGTCTGTAGTTAGAGCCCACAGTTCTACATTCTGTGCATCGTCGTCTTCTTCTTTTTTTTTTTTTTTTTTTTTTTTGAGACAGAGTCTCACTTTGTCACCCAGGCTGGAGTGCAATGGTGCGAGCTCGGCTCACTGCAACCTCCACCTCGTGGGTTCAGGTGATTCTCCTGCCTCACCCTCTCAAGTAGCTGGGATTACAGGAACCCACCATCATGCCAGGATAATTTTTGTATTTTTGTAGAGACGGGGGGTTCACCATGTTGGCCAGGCCGGTCTTGAACTCCCGACCTCAGGTGATCCCCCTGCTTCAGCCTCCCAAAGTGCTGGGATTGCAGGCATGAGCCACCGTGCTCCGCCTCTGTGCATCTTCTTCTTAACCTTCCCTGCTGCTTGACTTCAGGCTTCCATCCTGATTTTGTGATTCCATATTCAGCGTGTAAAAGCAAGATGGTTGAAGGTTGAAGGCTGACTAAAGTCACTAGTTCTTTGGTTTCATTTTTCAGTATTCCCCTCTTCCCTACTTTTCACCTAATTCCTCTTCCAAGACAATAGGTTAAAGGGCTCCACAAATGGAAATAAAAAGAGACCAATAATAGATATATTACTAACTGCTTCAGAACCAGACTGTTAGATTAAGAATAGAATTTAGAAATCATCACTAATTACTTCATTTTGCATTTAAAGAAAAATAGTATCAAAGAGGGAAAATTCTTCTCCCAGAGTTATATTCATGAAAGGCAAATCAGAACAACAATCTAAACTCCTCTATTACTGCAACGTTCTTTTCCCAATACCACGTGGTCATTCCAGGCACTATGGTAAATGTCTGCTGCCCTTGAAGATTTACTCAGACTTGAGTTTTAATAAGTGATTTGATAAGGATTTAAGCACCTGCAAAATAAATCCTGGCATTTAAAGGCATATAATAATAAGTAGCATAAAAACCAGGAGCTATTTGATAAATGTTTGTAGAGATTGTTGACAAAAGTGTCAATGGTAAAAGTAAAGAATAGTTTGTTTAATTTTGTGTTTTAGAGCGTAGTTCTCCTGTCAGCTGAAGAAAAAAAAGAACAAGTCATTGAAATAAAAGAAGAAGTGGTTGGGCTAACTGAAACATCTTCCCAACCAAAGAATGAAGAAGACATTGAAATTATTCCAATCCAAGAAGAGGAAGAAAAAGAAACAGAGACAAACTTTCCAGAACCTCCCCAAGATCAGGAATCTTCACCAATAGAAAATGACAGCTCTCCTTAAATGATTTCTTCTATTTTCTGTTTCCTTTTTTAAACATTAGTGTTCATAGCTTCCAAGAGACACGCTGACTTTCATTTCTTGAGGTACTCTGCACATACCCACCACATCTCTATCTGGCATTTGCATGGAGTGACCATAGCCCCTTCTCTCTTACACTGAATGTAGAGAATGTAGCCATTGTAGCAGCTTGTGTTGTCATGATTCTTCTTTTGAGCAACTTTCTTACATTGAAGAAAGGCAGAATGAGTGCTTCAGAATGTGATTTCCTACTAACCTGTTCCTTGGATAGGCTTTTTAGTATGGTTGTTTTGGTTTTTTTTTTTTTTCATTTTCTCCATCAGCAACCAGAGAGACTGCACCTGATGGTAAAGATATATGACTACTTCACAACATTCCTAAACTATCTTTTTTTTTTTTTTCCCACATCTATGCTTTTGGTGGAGTCCCTTTGGCATCACTGTTTTAAGGATGATTAAAAAAATAACAACTAGGGACAATACAGAACCTATTCCATTTATCTTTCTACAGGGCTGACATTGCGGCACGTTCTTAGAGTTACCACACCCCATGAGGGAAGCTCTAAATGGCCAACACTCATCTGTTTTTGTAAAAACAGCATAGCTAATACATGGACATGTCTCTGCCTTAACTCTTCCTGACTCCCACTCTAGGCTATTGTTTGCATGTCTACCTACTTTTAGCCTTTATGCAAGAAAAGAAAAAAATGACCATAGAAAATGCCACAATGAGGTGCCCAAATTTCAAATAATAATCAACATTTCATTGTATTTATAATTTCCAGATGACAAAGTATTTCATCAAATAACTTCATCTGATGTTCCATGATCAAGAAAACATCCCTCTCTCTATTTTACAAGTAATTCAAAGAGGTCAAATAACTTGTAAACAAGAAAAGGTAACTTATCAACAGTCATAACTAGTAATTACGAGAGCCTTGTTTCATAACGAGGTCTTCTTACTCAAATCCTGTGATGTTTGAGATAACCAAATTGTCTCTCCAATGTCTGCATAAACTGTGAGAGCCAAGTCAACAGCTTTTATCAAGAACTTACCCTCTGATCAGCACTAAACAAGCACTGAGAGACACAGAGGGTCAGAGTCAGATTTTACCTATGGGGATAAAAAGACTCAGACTTCTACCACATTTGGAAAACTACTTGCATCATAAATATATAATTAACTGGTAGTTTATATAAAGCAGACACTAAGTGCTATAGACATTCTCAGAATATCCTACTCGGAAACAATGTAATTAAAATGCCAAATCTGAGTCAATAGCTGCCTTACTTTTCAATTCAGATATATTAGTACCTTACTTAGAAATAATGTTAACCTAGGGTGAGGTCACTATAATCTGTAGTCTATTATTTGGACATTTGCTACATGATGAGTGCTGCCAGATTGTGGCAGGTAAAGAGACAATGTAATTTGCACTCCCTATGATATTTCTACATTTTTAGAGACCACTAGTGGAAGACATTCCTCAAAATTAGAAAAAAAAGGAGATAGAACATTTCTGTCTATGTAAAGTTCTCAAAATTCGTTCTAAATTAATAAAACTATCTTTGTGCTCTTTTCTGCAACAGATGATTCCAACATGGGTGTTTGTCTATTCTTCTTTACTCTTGAAACATTAGACCATGGGAAGCTCTTACAGCCTTGAGTTCATATTTACAAAACCCCAATCTAGGTTTGAACTGTGAGGTGTCAGGTCATCAAATATTCATGTCTATATAGTCTTACACAGGTTCCCAAAGACAATGTTCATGGGATAGGTCATTGATAATGGATTCCTTACTCCCAGAACTCCAGATGACTGAAATATATGAGAGAAGTAGGATAGGGCATGGTAGGGGCAGGCCTGAGAAAAAAAAATGAAAGTCAGAAATCTTTAAAAAAAATACAAGATGTTATTTCTATCTTATTTTTTTCTCCATTTCTGAAATATATATGACAATTCCTCTCCAAACCCATGGTTTCTCCAAGAATTTTGAGTCATTTGTACAACCTCAAATAATTAGTTTTGGCTGACCTCACATAAGTTCTTAAAATAGGGGACATCTTTAATGTCTGCTATTAAAGAAGAATGAAAATTCCTATGACCTTCTCTCCGATGATCCCTTTGGCAATATAGAGTCAAATAATAGCATTGGCCAATAGTAAACATGCTTTGCCAAGAAGTGGAAGATATATTCTCCAGTCTTAGTTTTTCCTCTCAATTTGTATTTTCGTAAAAATAATATTATATCCACAAAGGAAATAAGCTTTGAAAACCCAATTGCACTCATTGACTAGGAGGCTGACATAACTTCTTTTCATTTTCTTCTGGTTGTCTTATAATCTTTGTTTATAATAAGGTGATAAACCATCCCAGTTTGTCTGAATCTGAGGGATTTTTCTGGGATACAAGATTTTCAACGTTAAAACCAAGATAGTCCCAGGCAAACAGGATGGTTGATTATCCTACTTCATAGTAATAGATAAGTTTACTCAGTTACAACCACTGCATAATATTTGCTTTTTACATGTAACAGCATATCATAGATTTTTCCTTATGGATATATAATTTCATAAACATCACTTAATTTCAATTTAGGATTTCATGAATCAATATAAATTTACCATTCCTCTATTATTGGATATGTAGGGTATTTTCTTTCTTTTTACACATCACTTTTGGAGCACAGAAACGATGAGCAAGATACATGTTTCCTCTTATTATTCAAAATGTAGCTTTACATTTAAAGTCTTGTCAATGTCGACCAGTAGGAAGTACTAGCACCTGTTAAAACCCAGAAAATTTATTTTTAATTTCACTTTGACAAGAGAATAGTCAAAGATTCAAAACACAGAAATAGTTACTTCAGATTCATTTAGTATGAGTTCATTTAAGAAATTTGATTTGTTTTAAATTCTTGGTGTATAACATAAAACACTGATGGAGGGGTTCAAATCTGAAATTTTCATAGGTTAAGTCTTCGATACGTCAGTGAGTTTCCTTTTATGGAATACTTGGTTGTGTGTTCTGAGCTAAAAAGTACCAAGTAGCAAATGAACATGACAGAATCATGTGGTGGCAAAGTTACAATTATCCTCTATTGACCCCAGCCTACTCAGCAGTGCAAAATGCTGAGCAAGAATAAATAAGTTGTCTCCTCTTAGGGCTGGAGAAAGAGAAATTAGTTAATCAGGTACCTGTTATGGGTAAAGCATTTTGTTAAGTATGGAGGGGTACGGATAAAGATAGGAGAAGCTCCCTGATCTCAAAAATCTTAGTGCCTAATTGAGAATGATATAAGCATATGTATTAAAAGATAACCAATAAAGGTCCAAGAAAACTCAATGGGAAAAGAACAATCTTTTCAACAAACTGTGGTGGGACAACTGGAGAGCCATATGCAAAAGAATAAAATTGGACACCTACCTCACACCATACACAAAAATTAAAATGGAGGCCTAAATGTAGGAGGTAACACTATAAACCTCTTAGGAGAAAACATAGGTACACATTTTGTTACCTTGAAAAGGCAATGAGTTCTTAAATATGACACCAGAGGCACAAGCAACCAATGAAAAAATAGATAACTTTGTTCTTTAAAAAAAAAAAAAAAAAAAAACAAGGAAAAATAGGAAGGAAGAGAA